ATGGCCACATTTCATTTTGTGGACAGAACGAAAAAATCGCTCGTAAGATTGAAAAGAGCTGAATCATATCTGCTGCCATACATTTCATGCCACGGCACTCAAAACTACAACAATAATTGCAAATGCATTCGAAAAGTTGTTTTTTCATTTGTGGAAAAAGTTTGTGCTCAAAATCAGTATGAATCAAAAGAGTTCCAGTTTTTTATTGAATGCATTCTTCATTTTGAGGAGGTCTTGTTCATTCCCAACTCGATGGTGTGAAATAAGAGCTGATGGTAGGCCTGGAAAACGTCTCGATGGAACGGCAACTGGTTCCTTTTCGTACGTGATCATGCAAAAAGGCGTTCGACAGCCCACTCAATCTTCAGCACCTCGTCTTCTTGATGTGCGTTTTGTTCCTGAACGTTCTGAAATTTATCTCTACTTTGCTCATTAAGTGGCATTTCAGTTGTCATAGCAGATTTGTTGACTTGTTCATTTATTTACATTTTGCTACCTTCACAAAAAATGCCTCTGCTAGGAAGTTGTCTCTTTCTATAATTTTCACGATCCATCTTTTATATTTTCATTTCTGAGGAGCAAAGTATACTTAGCGGTTTGGGAAAGTTTCAGCGCTTTTTTGGATCTCGAGTGAAATGTTTGTGCGATGATCTTATAGTCCGAGGCAGGAACATCACTCTGACGGTGCGGTGCATCAGATTGATAATATTACATGATTACAGTTTATTTCTTTTCAGATACAACGTTCACATCACCATTCCACCTGTACGGTGTGTACGTCGTTCAATGGTCTGCAGCAGTTCGTCATCTCGAAACGAGCCGGGCCACTTTACAAGAAACTGAAATCGAAGAAGTCTGGAGAGCTTCTGCCGATCAGCGTAAGCTCCTTTATTTCGCTATCATTCGGTCGGCATCGTTCATTGAATGGAGATGGTTCCGTCGGAATGTCAGATCCAGATTCCAAATGGATTCTTCATTAATGTTTGATATATTCTTACGTTACTATCATATATGAGTGATTGAACACATTGCCTCCAGAACTGTACTGGTATTGTGAATTTGTTGTGTGAATAGAGGAAGCAGTGAGACGAGATTGTGATCACTGTCCGAATATGTTGGATTACTGAACGAATTGTTATTCTGAAACTATCAAAAGGACATGGATATGAAACAATCCAATAGTTCCTGCATTTATCTAAGGTGGTTTCAGCTAAAATCGGTGGCTACAGAATCACAGTTTGACTTATACGACGAAGCAGTTAAAGACTTTCAACAAGACACAACCACATCGTCAACATCCTCCTCGTAACGTTTTCGCTGAACGATATTTTTTCCAGTCGATAGTTGATTTTGATTTATTATGATTTTGTACGATCTGTGTTGATATAAATCTCGTTTATTATTATGATGATAGAACGAATACGTAAATAAACAATTTACAACGAACGGCATGTTGCTATCTGAAGGATCATCGAAATCACAAAGACGAATGATACGCATCTTGCGTACTTTCATTGCGTTAGCAAAATGTAAGCACTGAACAATGAATATGTGGTGTTTTCAGTTTAAGGGCGTTGAAATAATGTTCATTGAAGCGTTCAAAATTCGTGATTCGACGAATAGAACTGTTTTAGCCACAAAGTTAGGCATAAGTTTGAGATGGGATTCATGAAGATATGCAGAATAAATCCTAAGTTTTGAACCAAACGAATTTAGCAGAATTTCTTCTGTGCCCGATGATGCATATCTTTCAGAATTGTGGCAACTTAAATATGAATCAATGAAGTAATAATAAAATCACGGGTTTTGTCGAGAATGCTCTCTTCACACACTA